GCGGGGGGGGGGGGTCAGCTGGTCCAAGGGGGAGGCCAGAGCAAGAGAAGATGTTTGGAAGCTAAAGAGGACGTTGGCTCCTGATCCAGATTCTCTTTCAGGGCGAGATAAGGCTTCCATCCCCGCTGCTGCCCGCCAGAGGAGGAAGGAGCATTTGCAGATGAGTGACCTGGAGATAAAGCGCCCCCCCGCATTATGCAGCTTGGCCTCCCTCCCCCAGCGGGGGCCAGAAGCACCTGATGATTCCCTGCTCCAATGAGCAAATGGGTGCGGAAGGCAAGCCCCGTGCCCCTTTCTGGGGGGTGGAGGGGAGGAGAGAAGGACCTTCCACCTCCAGATCTTCCTTCCAGCTCTTATTCCACCGCGGGTGTTTTGTTTGGGCCCTTGGCAAGGAAGGGAATTCTCCTCTGACCACCTGGGGAAGGAAAACAGGACACCCCTTGGGTTGCCAACCTCCTGGGGTCCCTCACTGGCCACTCACTTGCCCACCAGACCTTTCTGCAGCTCCCGCCAGGTAGCCCATAACTTGGAAGGTGGAGCAGCCCGGGGGCACCCTCCCTGGGCTTCCCTCAGTCCCCAAAGCTGCTGGGGGAAGCTTAGCTGCAGGGGCCAGGGAAGAGAGTCCTTTAAGCTGGGGAGGTTTGTGGACCTGCCATATCCCCCCCCCAAAAAAAAGAGAGCTGAGCTGGGCTAAGCTGAGGGTTGCATCCAGCCCACATGAGACAGAAGCTCAGTTGGGTCTGCCTGCGATGCACTGTTGGCTCCCCCCCATGCTGCCCAGCCCCCTCTGTTCCCCCTCCTTCTCCTCTGGGCTCTGTTGGCAAGTTCTTGCCCTGACGACAACCCCCCCACAAGTCCTCTTCCTGCCACTGGCTGCCCTTTGCAAGGTTTTGAGGTCCCTGCAGCAAGCTGGGCCCCCAACGGCTCTGCGGCTGCTCCCCACCCTTTCCGTTTGGGCAGCTCACATATTTTCCGACCCGTGATGCAACTGGCTTGCTTTGCGGTTGCAAGACGTCCGCTGCGTGCAAAACAGGGTTCCGCTTGGGGGCTGGGAACCAAGCATGCCTCGCCGGACCTGTTCGTCGGAGGTAGAGAAAGCGTTTGTGAGTGTCACCCGCCCGCCACAGCCGTCCCAGGGAGCTGTTCTTCCTCTCCCACGCAGTCTCTGCCCCACCCCACTGCAGGCGTGAAGGGAAGATCGCCTCCGTGCTGCACCACCACGTTTCCTCCGATCTCTATTTCCTGCGCTGCTAACCAAAAGAGCTCCAGAATGCTGGGCCTGTCTTAAACTCTGGTGCCTGCCCAGAACTAAGAAATGGGGGCTCCAGCTTTGAATTCGCGGCTGCTGAGCAGGTGTCTGGCCATTTCGGACATTACGCCAAGCTATCGTTTCTAAGGTGTCGGCTTTTCGCTTAGCATCTTGTACAAACCCAGCTAGTTTGGCCTGTAATCCACACTTTATGCCTTAATGTTTTATATGAAGCAGCTAATAATAGTTTACCTGATTTAAAACTAGCCATGGAGTATTGAAATTGATTGACTTTGAATTTATATCCCACTATAGTCTCATGATTCTCAGCGGTATGAACAACCACATACGCCGTGACAAGAGAAATAAAAAATAGAAGATGGCGTGATGGGGAGCATCAGTGGAACACTCTTTGGGAAGGCTCAGTTATCAACAACTCTCTGAAAGCCATCAACATTGGGAAGAGGTCGCCTGATTTCTGGGAGGAGACCATTCCACAACCCTTCTAGCTTCATCTCCCTTCCCCTCCCGCAACTAAGTGTGGGACTGCCGGGAGTTTCTTCCCAGTGCTCAACCGGTTGGCCGATACAGGTTGGAGGAGGCAGTCCTGCAAGGACTGAGGATGGAGGGATGAACTCCGTCAGCATCCCAGCCTATCTCATAGGGTTGAAGTGTTGCCACGCAGCAGTGTGAGTCCACCCTGTACAATTCCAGAGGAAACCCAGGATGTAAATGTTCCAGATAAACAGGGTAACTGTCTGAAGAAATGGCTCTCGACAGATGATCCAACCAAGGGTTAATTTTTCTCCAAGGTTGCAGAACAGGATCAAGCCCAGATGCAGATCCAGTTTCCCACATCATGCTAAGCCATTATTGTCTTCAATCACCAAATCACCAGAATACCACAATTTGATGGATTAACACAATACATTAAACCACAAATAACAGCTTACAAACCACAATAGCTAGCTGGCACATTGCACTAAGCCAATTACAAACAAACCCCATTGTGGCTCAGTGTGATGTGTGAACTCAGCCACACACTTAGCCCCCACACCCAGGATTTCCTCCTTTGACTGGAAGAACTTTCCAGGGATTGGGGCAGAAAGGAGTCTTCTGAGGGTCTAAAGCTTAATTATGGAAAAAAGAGACACCAGAACAAACTCCAGAACCTGCAAGGCAGACGCTCTCTAACTTAAGGCTCTTGACCTAAACTTCAGTGTGAGGAAGAGGAGGAGGAGGGGAAGGAGAAGGAGAAGGAGAAGGAGAAGGAGAAGGAGAAGGAGAAGGAGAAGGAGAAGAAGGAACAACAAACAACAAACAACAAACAACAAACAACAAACAACTTTCCTTTGGCACCCAAATAAGGAAGAAGCCAAGAAAGACTTCTGGGGTTTGGTTCCTTCTTCAGTGAGAGAGCCAGACCTCCAAAGAGCTACACCCAGCACAGAGACTCAGATGGATTTCCATGAGGGCAGGGAGCTCTCTCTCTCTCTCTCTTGCTCTCTCTTTCTTTTATATTTTATTGGAAGAATTAAAAAAAAAAAGGGCTTTCAAAGATTTGGATACACCGGGCAAATGGACATTTTGGGACAGAAGGTTTGGACAAG